TTGTGGTTGAGCTGGAATGTTCCATGGGAGAGGGCCATTGACTGGACTGTCAATAGGTTGTCCTGAAAGTAAATCAAAATGGTACTTGAAAACTAACAATGACATGGTGTCTAAAACACTCATAGACCCAAAAGTGAACAGGTTATCAACAAAAATATATTTGGCCTCAGTGGATATAAACATCCTCCCTGAGAAAGGTGCTCATTTATTTTGCTCTGAATCTTATACTTTAAACTAAGGTACAAGGATAACAATAGCAAGGATTGTTCAATAATGTCAAATTGTTCACCTCCAAAGAATTCCATTAGCCTACAACCAGAGCTGAAAAAGGCAACAATGAGAGGAAAACATGTTTTTGTGGAAAAACTGTGTTTAGTCCCAAAACATCATTCCAAAATTTTCAGTTATTTTTTGAAAATATGTTTCTTCAGAGCTGGCCCAGAACTTTTTTTTTTTTTTAGTAGCCAACAAGGAATAGAAGGGAGATTTATGATATTAATAAAGTCTTTTTTGACGCTACCTCTGTAAGGTTCATATTGCCACCAGTTTTCCCGTGACTCACAGAAGCTTGCAAGAAATACTAAAACATAAAATCTGGTCAAGAATAAATACAATAACCATTCACAAAAAGTACAACCTCCAATCTTAGTGATTTTAATTGTTGAAGATAAAGCAAGTATATAGTAAGGGTCATATGTTCTTCTACGAGCTATAGCTTTCAATTATGTTCCACCTTTTCCATCCTCAACATGACTGTGAATGGGATTAAATAAATACGCTTAATTTATTTTATTGTTTCCATTGAGCTTACATGAAATGACTTGAAGGAACTATGTCCTTAATCACCATTTCCTGAGCTGGGGTCTTTCCATAACAGCAATGTTCACTAACAAACTGAAGCATGGCATCACGAGCCTGATCATCGCTATAGCAGTTGACCTGTTAATTAAGGAACAGCCAATTTATTTGTTCTACTTATTTCTAAGTTGATTGAATCCCTTAAAACTATATGTTTGCTAATGAAGAAGTCAGAGCTAGTGAGAATGAAAAATCAGATAGAGTTGTGAGTGGAGTGACAAGTTCAGCAGAATTGAAGATCCAGTTGGAAGAATTAAAGCATTTAGAACATTTTTATTTTACTCTGGCTCTGCATCTTCTAAATGATTCTGTGACTTGCAAACCAAATAAAGGAAAAGTAATTTAAACTAATATTATTATTTAAATGATTTTTTATATTCTGAAATGTTATTGTGTTGCATTAGGAAAAACTAATCAGGCATGAGAAAACAAAACTGCAAGCAAGTACAGTAATTAGTTTGCAGTTTGCTTGTACATCTACTGATCTTTGTTGTAAATGGCTCTTTATTTAGGTGTTCACAGTATTCTGAGAAAACAAACTCACTGTTGGAAGAGCTGCTCTGGCATCTCAGAGGAGGGCGGAGGAACATAAGGAGGTGGAGGTGGCACAAATGAACTGCCTGAAAATAATAATAAAACAAAAAAACAAAAAAAAAACAATCTGGCTTGTGAAAGAAGGATTACATGCCAGTACTACTTTCATTCCTGGCTATAAATACAATGTAGTTACTAAACAGCATAATAAAAAAATCATAGAAAAATAGATCGACAAATACACATAATAGGTTGAATACATGTAATGTTACTTACCAAACCTTGTATTTTCATAACCAGAGTATTGTGCAAACATATCAGCAGGTGGAGCAGAAGGAACTGGAGCCTTGCCAAACTGATTATCAAACACGTCTTGAGCTGGAACATCTGATCCAGTGTATGTGGGCCGATCAACTCTTCCTGAAGTTATTGATAATTATGACAAAAGTTACACATACATGGCTCTATGCTAGCTCTATGCTAGCATGACCTCTCTGATGCTTTAACCAGTAATGGATCTGGGATGGGGGTGGGGGAAGCTTCAGGACCTCCCCTACCCTGCCCCAACAAATAAGGGATCATGAGCCAGAGGGACAAAACTAATAATAATTAGTAATCTAATCTTCTTTGAGAGTAAAAGAACTCCCTCACAACAGCCCCGTACCTCCAGCCAGGTGGGGACAGAACAGAACAGAACAGAGGATGATATTTTCCACATAGCACCTGATAACAGCCCCCATCCCCCACCCACCAAAAGAGGTTTTGCACCTCCCCAAAATTCTTATACCAAAATAGCCCCAACCCTGGGATTTGTACTTGTTTGGAAGCTACTTCCCTCACACCCTACAAATTGTGCTAGAGACACTGACATAACATTAAGGCATGGTTAAAAAGCACTTGAAACTTGCCCTTACCCTCAAAAGCAACATTAAAAGATCCATATCCTTGCTGCTGAGGGGGCGCAGGACCATAACCCTGTTGAGGGGCAAAACCAACTTGTGGCTGACCTGAAAATTAACGATAACAAATATGAACAAAATGCATATGGTTAGGTAATTAGGCACGCATGGCATTAAGAAATGACCCTGCATAAATCCAAAATTTGTGGAAAAGGAGACATTAACTGACTTCAAGGGGAAGGAAAGATTTACAATGTCACAATAATTTATGGGACTAGATAACCAGCCACTTGTAATTCAGGAAATTAAAAAAGCAGCATAATTCAAGTTTTTACATAGGGCCCCCTGTTCACACCTAACTATGACTAAAAATGGAGTTTGGAGTTTGAAAAAATTTGGAAATTCTTAATCACCAATTTTTTATTTTTGCAACCTTGTTCGCATCTGAGACAAGCAAACTTTTCTGTATAACCAGAAATGTCAATAAAAGGAACTTTAATTGGTCATGTTCACGAAATAACATGCCCTGATGAAGGATAGCTGTCAAGGAAGACCAAGGACCTACCCAACAGTGTAGGCTTTGTGGCTGCCTCCAAAATGTTCTTGACGGCATCTTTGAAGTTTGGTGACAGTTGAAAAAATTTTGGTAGGTGAATAAAAATCATTCATGGCTGCATGTGCTCTAAGAAAAATTGTAGGGAGCCCAATGCTCTCAACCTGTGAAATCCAGGGTGCTCAACAGATGATTTCTGTGAAAAATCTAAAATTTTCTAGTTGAACGGCTGCAAAAGTTAGCCACCAGGGCCACAGCGCATGCTAGAGCACAGTCACTTGACACTAGAAATGGCTTCCCGTTGACAGATTTTTTTGGCAAAACAAACAAAATTTTGCATAGTGCTATTGGCCTAAGCCAGTCCCAGTAGGCTCATATATGCCTCAATTTCGTTCCTGACGTCATGCACGACATGTAATAACCTGGTTGTTGATATCCTTGTCCTGGTCCATAGGCATATCCTCCAGGTGGATAAGGGGCTTGACTCATAGTGCTAGATGGTTTTTTAGACAGGTTCTTGCTGTGAATGATCTGCATTAGGAACAGGGCAAAATTGAATCACTATGGAGATAATACAGTTTGATTTCATAATAGATGTCCGCCAACTAAAATTTGTTATCGATCACAATTTCCAGAAATGAAGAGGCAGTCATCACTAAACAGATATACTATTCATTGAAAATATTTCTCCATTTCTGATTGGCTAAAACAACATGCATAATTCACAATAACCAGCTACTGTTGGCCAAATTTGGAAAAATTTTGTGATTAATCAACCAATGACGTCAAAAGTGCAGCACTGTCGCAGGTTAATGCACCGTTAACCAAGAAGACCTGGGGACGACGTTGAGTTGTTTTGGTTGTGAAAAAAAAATGGCCGAACAGTTGGCGGAACATTTTACTCATTTCACAATGAACTGTTGTCTAGAAACATAGCAAGAAGACAACTTGACGGACAACATCTGAAATTTGGAGACCCGAACAGCCATTTATCTTCTAAACATGCACTTAATCGAGATGAGCTTAACATTGACGAAGGTAAGCATGTTTTAGCTTGTTTTCAAACTAGCAATTATTTTGAAAGAATAATAAAGTAATTAATGAATTCACCTTTCATAGGATATAAAGAATATTAGTAAAATCCAACTAGTGGTCTATTATCAATGCTGCCTTCTGATTGGTTGCACTACTACTAGGCTATATGTTATAGCCCCCTAGTAGCGAAAAGTGCGGGCCGGGTTTTGGCGGCAAAAAAGGATTAAGGTCTAGCTTTAACCAGCTAAAATTTTTTTACTCTTGATATTTTTGACCAACTAGTTGGATTTTACTAAAACAATTATTCCTCTCGCCCTCATGGCCTCTGAGTCAATAGCCCATTCGGCCTTCGGCGTCATGAGGCCATTGACTCAGAGCCCATTCTGGCTCGAGGAATAATTGTTAAATATTATGCAGATCTTGGAGAGTGTTATCCACCTTGGCCGTCAGCCTCAGTGGATAGCACCCTCCTCAATCTGCATAATTCTTCATATCCTACTCAGCCACATTCATTATTGCCAAGTAAATGGAGTGCATTAAACAATAAATTGAGCTACTACAACTTTTTCCGGGTATAACACGTGTTCACGTAGGTGAATGCTCAGAATTAAATAGAGCTAGGGATCCTGTTTTCTCTCATTCCTTATTTCAGAAACTTAATCGAGATTAGTTCAGTTTTTAGTTCTATTAATAAAGCTCCACCATATGTACAAGCTGGGGCAACTTGAATTATGTCATTGATTTTCAACGGTTCATCTGACTTGAAATAAGCGGGCGCACGGAAATAGAATATCGGAGAATTAATGATTACCTTTCAAAATTCTCAGCTGAGAGGTTGTCAGCTGACGTTATTGAATTCTGCGATTCTTTAAGCATATTAATGAGACTCCAAAAACCAATAAATATTCATATAAATACGCATACTGTTTCGTTTTCCACTCGTAAAATGAAGCTGCAATATATAATGCGATCTGTAAACGACACCTGTCTCAAACTCTGATATTACAATACCCTCAGCATTTTCCTGAAGCTACTAGGGTGGGAAAACTGTTTTGTCAATAAGAAACATCGAATTCATTCGTTTAACAAAGGCAAACGTTAAAAGCCTTCAAATAAATTAAGACCTTCCGTCGGCTGGTACACAGAGCATTAAGTTTTTGGCGCAATTTCACCTTCGAACCGCTTTGGAAGTCTGCTGAGGGCATTCGACGCCTACAGGTCAGAGGTAATCTATTTTTCTCATCACAAATAACTATCCTCTACATCAAACCTCACTGTCTGCAATCACATACCTGTACAAACTCCTTTTCATAAACACCGTCGTCTGCAAGGATGAACTAACATCGGCTTCGTCGTGGTCCAGGTGAAATAGACAAGGGGAGGGGCTGGGGAGAAGATCAGGATTTGAGACCGGAAGTAAAATTTTAGTTTGTACTGTTGCGAACAGTTTTTGTTTTTACGCCAAGCAAAATATTGGTGAAACATGAGCGAAAAGCCCTCGAATTATAGCTTAGACAAAAATCTATGAGCCTCAAAGATCATGACTGTAGTACCTGGTCTTACCCCCTAACTCGCCATGTAGTGGGCGCGGGGGAGACAGACTGGCTATCTTTTCTATCGAATTTCTTTGTCTTGTTCTAACTGAGGAAAAAACTTGCTAAATAATGCATTCGCAAGGGGGTTACAGTGCTTGGTTTTCTTACAATGTCCAGAAAATCAAGCTTCACGCGCGGTTCTGTTGAGACTTCATATTCGGTTTGGTATCACATCCTTTTTCAATCACTTTTCTCGTCTCTATTTTTACAAAACAAGCTGAAAACACGCTCCTTGATTCAATGGTCATATACGAAAGTACGCTAAAATCCGATATATAAATACTTGCCCCTTTGTAAGGGAAAATACACGGTAAATTCCATATTTCTCTGAAAAATCCTTGACTGGCAGCTTTGCAACAGCGCACGGTCTCACAAATTATTGAAATAATCATTTACTGTCCTAACGTTCCTTTGTACATCAATGTCGTGTACGCTCAACAACGTTCCTACTTTGTCAGACTAAAATGGTCACCTCGCTCCATGTAAGGGTTCCAGACAGTCCGGCTAGCATTCCGGATTCCATGCTGTCGATTCCTGATTCCAGGTACTGGATTTCCGACTTTGTCAGTGGAAATTTGGATGCTTGATTCCAATCGTATATGGGATTCCGGATTCCTTGAATTGTATTCCTGATTTTCCAAAGCCGAAAATTCCGGATTCCACAAGCAAAAATTCTCGGAGTCCGGAATCCCGATTTCCTTACCTGCGGCGAGTCACCTGGTCGGACATACGACCTAATCTAAAAACAGTTACTAAAGAACTGCTTACGTTACATTTTTTACCCTAATTAATCGCTCTTTAGTTACTGTGTTAGTCACCGTAAAATTCCGAAAAGAAGCCCCGGGGCTTATATCTTTCAAAGGCCCTTTTTGAGGGGCTTATTTTTGGAGGGGCGTATATTTGGAGGGGCTCATCAACTATTACGGAGGGAAATTTGCCTTTCAAAATCGATTGGGCTAGCCTTATAGTTGGAAGGAAACTTACCGTTTTTGCTTTGTTTTACTTTGTATTTGAGGGCAATTTCCAAGTACAAGCCCCCAGGCGGTCTTATATTTGGAGGTGAGATTTAACGGAGGGTTTTTTGCGTTACTGGTTTCGGGGGTTTATATTTGGACGGGCTAATACATGGAGGGCTTATTTTCGGTACACGGTAGCCCCTCGAGACCAGGTTATGCAGAGATAACCTCTTCCCCTTTTAACGTCAGCCACTCCCAGCCTAGGGCAGGGAGTGGGAGAAGAAGAGGAGAGGTCCCTCGCTCTGCTCGGTTCGCTTGTCGATTTTTTGCCTCTCTTCCCGGCCAAAAAACCTGGTCCCAGGCTAGCACAAAACGCGAACGCCCAGCGATTAGTCTGGATTGCACATAAAAACTGACCGATGCCATACACTATTCTTTAGATTATAGTGCAACCAAAACACTATTCTTTAGATTATAGTGCAACCACAACAGCACTGTTGGGGGTAGTCTCGGGAGTGCACTCTGTGATCCAACCCGTACACCCAGAAACGAATGTTTTTATCTTTCCACTCATACTTCACTTCAGATACTGGCACAGCTCGTAACGTGTGACGCTGAAATAAATCAACAAATAAATTTCATTTTCATTAATCCATACAGATATAGGCTCACACTATGACAATGTCACATTTGGTGCCCGAGTACCAGTGCCTGGGTAACGGCACAGAATGGTTTTCTGTTCACTCCCTGGGTACCACGCCCTGTTACGCGCCATTTTGAAACGTGAGAGTAGTAGGAAGTTATTTGTAAGGAAAGCATTGAATTGCCTTTGAACAGAACTAAAAGTTTTTCCATCCCTAAGTAAGGGTAACCGCGAAATAACAGTTCGACTGTATAATCCAAAAAGACATTCACCAGTTTAGAAACGAGGAGTAAACTAGGCTGAGTTAATTTTCGCGAAGACCCCTAGGATCGTTTCCGGGAACGCGCCGGTCAGCCAATGGTCAATTTTTCCTCTGTCCCCAGTAAACGTCCCAGATGGGAGCGTTGCGTGACGAGACAAAAGTACTGCCGTCTCAAAAATCTTTGACAGTTTTCTTACCTGCATAAGGATTCGTTTTTGTATTTTTGGAATTCAATTTATGATTTTATGGGCACCTGGCGAATACAAAGAAAGACAGGAAATAGTGTGATATAACCCTTCAAGAGCTAGTTTTTGACGATAAATCTTTCTATTAGTTGGTCATGGTCAGAGTGAAGGAGAAAGAGCCCACATATCAGATTTTTCCTTTTACGTCAGAGGTGTTTTTAGACATTGACCGAGTCACAGCAGACAACACAGGCATACCAATATTTTTGTTTAGCCACTCAGTGGTATGTACTGTTATAAAAACGTATTTGAACTCTTCCCCTCTTTGAGTTTGGTTTTGTTTGTTTTTTTTGTTGGTTTGTTTTTTGTTTTGTATTTTTTTAAGGTATAGATGATAGGTTCTCCCGTCCCCTAACCGCGTCGATCACAGGAATACAAGTATATGTCAATTACGATAAAGACCCCAAGCCCATCATTCTTTGCGTTTGTTTCGTAATGTCGCGTTCTTGCCGGTTTGTTTTGATAACATAGATAGCCTGTGAATTTCAAATTTTTTTATATTTAACTCTTTTCAAGTCTGGCTTCACTGCAGTTAAATCACATATTACGAAAACACTGATACAGACGAACCTCCAGATGCGACCACCTCTCGTAAACAACTACCTCTCGTAAAAGATCACCATCCTTAAGCGACCGCGTTAGAGAGATTTCCCATTGTTTTTAACATCCTAAAAAGCGACCCCTTAACGATTTGTCTGAACTCTTATGTTCGCTGTATGCTACTAGGAGTACACGAAGAACTTAAGTAACAAC